TGAGGATCTGGCACCAGAGCCTGAAGGAAAAGTGGAAAACGGAGCCAACTGTTGGAGGGAATTTTAAGATGTGGAAGATTTGGTTCTTGCAGTCCTATGTTCTGTCGGAAGCAAGTGTCCAAATGGCTTGCTACCCTCCAAAGGCCTTCATTTAAATCAAGAAATGGAAAACAGCCAAAGAAACCCGAAGATAGTTCTTCAGTCAGTGTAAGGCATGCAGTCAAAAGGATGTAAGATAAGCTGATCTGGGAGCTCTTGGAGCTAACAGAAGATCACAGAACACAGTGAGGAGAGCACCTCAAGACAAGTAGGGGACAAGTACCATCTTGTCATTCCCATATCCCTTTCTAATTAAAAGATCACCAGTATGTCCCCTACTTTTATTCTATAGGAAAATATGTTTCCACCATCCAGAAATTCATTATTGTGGATCATCTAAAAATAAGAGTCAAAGGAAATAGGGAGGTAAAACAGTTAAGGAAATTCAATGGAGAAAACACCTGATGCGACTTTTTTCAGAATTAGAAAAAGACATCTACAACCTGTCTTCATGTGAGTGTCACACACTGCCCAAGGTACTACATGCTCTTAAATTAAAAGAAAAAAACCTGACTTTGAAGTGAGAATGAAAAGGAACAACACTGCATAGGAAAGTTGAGGAGAAAGGCCACTCGGAGTGATCCAGGCTGGCCTAGTCATTGTTAGGATGATCATGATGATTATTAATTGTTTATTGAGTGATTGCTACATGACTGTTTTAAACTCAACACCTGCCTAAAATGTGCTGATCAATTAAATCCTTAAAATGATTCTTTTCACTTTTTTCCTTTAGGTTTAGAGATTTACCAAAGAACGTAAGTGACAAGCCACATAAATTCATGTACCAAACATTTATTGAGCTGTTACCCTGTTCTAGGCATCGCTGCTCTACTGAGAATACAGCTGTGAACAACATCCCTGGTGCTTTAGTTCTAGTGAGGAAAAACAGGTGTATTCATTTCTTATGGCTGCTGCAGCAGATTACTGCAAGCTGGCTGGCTTCTAACAACAGAAATGTATTCTTCCAGGGTCCTGAAGGCCAGAAGCCCCAAATCAAGAGGGCCCCAGTGCAGCACCTCCTCTGAAGGCCCTAGAGAAGAATCCACTCCTGGCCTCTTTCATCTTCTGGTAGCTGTCAGCATTCCCTGACTGTGGGCCCATCACCACACTCTGTCCCCATGGGCACATTGCTTCCTGCTCTTCTGCCTGTTTTCTCTCCCTTTGCCCTTTTCTTATAAGCAGATTTGTGATGACATTTAGGGTCCACCCAGATAATCTCAAGCAATTTCACCATAATATCCCTAATGTAATCATATCTGTTAACCACGTAAGGTAATATTCACTTTATTGTGATATATGATAATATTTACAGGTCCCTTTGATTAAGATAAACGTAACATTTGGGGCCACCATTTAGCCACTGCAACAGGAGATAAATAGATATATTGAGGCCATTATGAGAGCAACAGAGAAAACAAAGCAGGGAGAAGGGACAAGAGAGTAATGGGAAGATTTTTGCCTAGGGGGCTAGAGAGGGCCTCCCTAATGTGGAGGCTTTGGAGCAGAGACGTCCTTGCGATAGATGAAGAACATTGTTCTGGCAGAGAGAAGAACAAGTGCAAAGGCCCTAGAAGTGATTGTTGTGTTTGAAGAGGTGAGTGGTAAAGAGACCCATGTCTTACATCTGTAGTAGGAGATGGGTCAAAAAGGCAGAATTTGGATTTTATTCTGAGTAAAAAGTGAAGCCATTGGTAGAGCAGAGACATAATTGATCTGACTTTTATTACTGTGGCTGATGTGTGGAGAATAGACTATAGAGAGCAGGGAAGTACTGGGACCACTCAGGGAGAGACTGCAATACTCCAGACAGGAGACAATAGTGACCAGGACTAGAATAGTGGCTACGGAAGTGGCGAGAAGCGATCTGATTCGAGACATGTTTTGAAGGTTGGGCCAACGGGATTTGCTGATTGAGTGAATTTATGTGATAATAGTAAGGGAGTCAAGGATGTTGCTAATGTTTTTTTGCCTGTGTGACTGAACAATAAGAGCCATGGCCAGCTGAAATTGAAAGATGCCAGAGGAACAGTCTTGGGAACTTGAAATTCCATTTTGGAATTTGAAATGACTTTCGACATTCAAGTAGAGATATTCTGTAGTCAGTTGAATACAGGAGTCTGGAGCGAGCTCAAGGTGAAAGACATATATCTGGGCATCATTAGTGAATAGTCAGTATTGTAAATCACCAACTAGTAGGTGTAGTTAGAGAAAAGGACAAAAACTGAGCCCCAAAGCACTACATAATTAAGAAATCAGGAGATGTGGAAGAGCCAGGACAAAAGTCTGTAAAGTAAGCCAGTGAAGAAGTAGAATCATGCAAGTCTGCTGACCTGGAAACCAACTAAGAAAGTGACTCAAGGACAGAATAGGCAGTCAACTGCATCAAAAGCTGCTGATAGATTAAGTAATATGAGGATTGTGAATCTACCATGGAATTTATCAGTGAGGCATCAGGTGCCTTGACGAGAAGTTTTGATGGAGTTGTGGGCACAGATTTATTTGGAGTGGGTTCAAAAGGGAATTGGATACAAGAATTGTAAGCAACTAATTTGGACAATTATTGCAATGAGTTTTGCTGTTAAGAGGAGCAAAGAAACAGAGCAATAGCCAGAGGAATTTTTTCGAATTGGAAATACCATAACATATTATCATGCTGATGCAATGATATTATGAGGGGCAAAAATTGATAATGTAAGCAAGAAAATGAATGTAAGAGAGAAGTCCACAAGTAAGTGAGAAGGGACAGAGTCCAGAGCCTTAGTGGCCAGCCAGCCTTGCACAGGAGCAAGGCAGTCCTCCTTATAACAGAAGCAAACTCAGAGTACCTGTGTACAGACGCAGGGTTGGTAGATCTGCTAGTGAGACGAGGAACATGCTCTCCTGATGGCTTCCATTGTCCCTGTGCATTTAGAAGCAAGCTCATCAGCTGAGAATGAGGAGGGTAAACAAGGTGAAGTTTGAAAAGGTGTAGAAGAGACTTCGGAGAGTGAATTGTTAAGACCAGCAGTGAATTATCTAGTGAATTTTCCAGAATAGTGCTATATCATAGAAACATAATGCAAACCACCTATGGAATATTAAGTTTTCTAGTACCCATATTGAAAACAGGAGAAGAAATAGGTACAAATAATTTTAATACTATATTTTACTTAACATATTCAAAATATTATTTCAACATGTAATCAGTATGAAAAGTACCAAGATATTTTAAATTCTTTATTTTTAGTAATGAGTTTCCAAAAGCCAGTGTGCATTTTACACTTTCAGCATATCTCAATTCAGATGAGCCATATTTTAAGTGCTCAGTAGCCACCGTGGCCAGTGCTGCCATACTGGACATGGCAGGTCTAGGGAATGAAGTAGGGCTAATGGAGAATAATAAGAATCCCTGGAAATTGGGAGCCATGAGCTAAGTAAGATTAGCATGGCTGGGTGTTTTTCTCCAGCCACATTCAGAGCTCCTGTACAGACATGGAATAGGCAGAGAGTTGGACTTGACCAGGAATTGAGTTTTGCAAGCAGCATTCAACCAAAGGGAAAAAAAAGGAAGGTAACTGGTGGCATGTGCAAGCAAGTGATAATACAGACTGACCACAGAACATAAGACACAGAAGTTAGCATGGGCGGGGGAGGGGTATAAAAGATGGTAGGGGCAGCCAAACTTCTAACAGCATCAAAGAACTTTAAGAACTGTAGATGCTATGCAGCATACAAAGATGTCTAGATAATTCCTATCCTCAGCAAGCTAACCTTGACAACAGATTTACCAACAGCTATGCTATTAAGATGGCACATGTAAATGCCAGAAAAGTAGCACAAAATGTGTTCTGTGGGAGTTTGGAAAAGGAAGAGTTCACTTCTGGCTAGATTGACCCATGAGGGTCCATGGAGGGGGTGGTGGGTAAATCAGATCTTGAAGGATAAATAGGGTATCTGTCGGCATACAGGAAACATGGTACAAAGCAAGGAAAAAGAACAAGCACAGATAGAAAATCAAAAATGTTCACTATTTCTTTGGGTAAAGTAAAAAAAACAACAACAACTTAATATTCATTGAGAGAACCATTAATAACAATGGGGTAGGCAGCATATAAATAGTTATGGATCTTGAAAGAAAAGTACAGGGCTAATTTCCCTGGGGGAAGAAAGCCTTCATCATAAAAGAAAGGCATCCCCGGAGAATACAATGTTTCTTAGCTGTGGGGAAACTGAGTGCCAAAGATTATTCTCAAGAAATAAATGCCCATCACTTCTCAGCCTTTTGGCTAAGATCAAATGAAGAAATAAATGCCCTTTATTTCTGGTCCACCTCAACCCTACACACACTCATGCACATGCACACACGTGAGCATGTACGCACACACATGCACACAGACACACACGGCATTCATCTTTCCTTTAGAAACCAGTCTCATATACTTAGTTCTCTTCTGTGGAAATGGCCAGTTACATCCAAAGAGAAGCATATGTTTACCTTCCATTCTGGAAGAAAACATCTAGAACCAACTAGGATTAGAGTAGGTAAGATGAAAAAGGCTTTGATTACTATTAACACTTTAGAAATAGTACTGTACTCCCACCACGCAGATCCAGTTTATGATTCTTTTAGAAGCAAGCTGTACACTATAATCTTTTTTGTTCTAAATCTGTTGCTGTTTCTGTTAAAATGTTAAGGGAAAATGTAACATTTAACATTACTTTGGTTCTCAACACAGTCGTCATTGAACAATAAGAAATTTAGTTTTTCCTAAGTGTGTGTGGAGTGTTGTTGAGAAAAAAAAAATCACCTTCTCTGTTCCCGGCTCTGAATGGTTTGGGAAACCTGCCAGTAGATCCACTCCCTCCCTCTTTTCACAAGAATATCTCATTTCAATCAGAATATCTATAATGAGTAAGACCTAGACATTTCCACATAAGACTTTAATAATACTGTGCTTTGTATTTACATATCATACATAATTGGTCCTTCATAGCTCACTATCACTTTAAATTTACAAATCAGTATATAAAAGCACAAGGTTTAGAAGCAACTCTTCTCGTGCCCAACAGTAAACTCATAATTACTGACACATGTGGTCCTACAAAGGTAACTCTTGTAACATAAAAGGAAGTGTCCAGTAAGCATTAATAGAACATAGCAATTATCAAATATCCCATTTATTCAAGGTAATTGTAAGAACCATGGTGCTTTAATTATATAAATAACCATATTAAGCCCTTTAGATCTACATTAATATGAATACAAATACATTCAATAAAAACTAATACTTAATATGAATTAATTAATAAATATATACATACATAATCAAATCAGTTCCACAAAGTAAAATGTACTTCAATCAAAAAGTCAGCAAATAGGTAATATACTTAAAAATGTGAAATATTGCTTTAAAAAAATTTCACTAACATGCTATAATTCTGAAGGCTACAGATGCCACTGGTCAGACTGCTCCCCGTGCCATCAAGTCTTTCCCCTTTGGAAATAAAAACATCCATTGTCTCTGATTCAGTTAGGAAGGTAAGGTATCTGGTTCTCTTAACACTGCTGGCTGTGATTTTACTCCCGATGCCTTTAACACTCATATGTCTGGGAGATTCTGTAAGATCTGTCTCAAGGAAGCACAGGCTACCACGTGGGCATCTGAAGGAAGATTAGCAAGTGACTGAATCAGCTTCTTGACTATTGTCTTCAAACACTGGTGGGCAGCATTCAAGTCTCTGTCAAACTGCTGTCCTTCAATCTGTAGAGCCAAATGACTGCAGATGTTTCTAAACTCAACACTGTCCTGAAATTAACAAACACAAACAAAAAATTAGATACGTTATGGGGGACATTTGCTGTGCTTTGCTTACCCAGCTTCCATGCCCTTCTCTTCTGGTGACAGCACTCTGTTTTATTTTGTTTTGTTTTGTTTTCTCGGAAAACTACTCCCCATTCTTAGCCTATGCAGTTGGACCAAAGCTGATCTCAACTCCAGAGACCAGGCCAATCAGAGCATGGACTGGTCAGGATGGACAGATGATCTAAGCCAAGACCAGTAAGCCGCAGGCCCAGGATATCTACTAGACAAGATTAAATAGGATCTGCTATCCTTTTTATCTGAGGCTGTTGGAAAATATCTTGCCACCATAAAGACAGCATCCAAATGAGAATGAGGCCAACACAGAAGAAAGGAGAACCAAGAGATTAAAAGAGACAGATTCTAATTACACTTTCTGAGTATGTGCTCTAGCTATACTCGAACAATAAACCCCAGGATTTTTCTGGCCATCTGGGTCAATAAATGTCACTTTTTTACTTAACCCAGTTGGAGTTGAATTTCTGTTACTTATTGCAAAAAGAACTGTGACAAATACACAAACAGTCTGTGTTTCTATTATCCCATGCTCACTGTGTTCAATATTCTAATACAGAATTTGTTATTTAACGGACATGGTCTCAAGAAATCTCCAAATGCAAATTTAGAAAGAACAATTCCCAGGTAGTTTAAAAGAAGGAGGTGATCCAACATTTTTATCTCCAAATGGTTTATTTTGTAAAATCCATTGCAAATGTACATTGGAATGATTCCACATTAGAGATAATGTTGAATATATGCTCTCTTTTGAGTATAGGGAAACGATGTCCCCTGGACTTCTGGTTCTAGCAATAAAACCAGAACTTAGTTTTTCCAAGGAATTCTCTTCACTACTAAATTCTAAAATTCTAAATAAAATATAGCAAACACTTTTCTGAGCTTGCAACAAAATAAGAGAAATCTTTCAGAAGCCAAAAATTTTAAAAAGATTATTTTAGCTGCCTACCAGTACTATGAAGAAATGAAAATTACTCTCTCTTGGGCTGGGTTTGGGATAGAGAGTAAAGTTGTCCCTGAGAATGTGTAATAGAGGACCTGTATTACACAGTCATTTGACTTTGAAATTGCCCTCTGTACCATATGAACATCCTGGGAACACTCATGCCAGGAAATTAACTTAAAATTTTGAACTGGACTGATATAGCCATGAACACATGGCAAAAACAAACAAAAACCTATTACAGAGAAACATGTCTGCAACCAATGCCCTACAATAGTATTTGCATAATGCTTATGTTGAAGATGAAGCCAAAATATGAAATTTAAAATACAATCTACCATGATATAGCAGATGCAATATGAGACAGGGTTAAATTCCAAGAATTAAAAAAGGAGACTATAAAATATGTTTTAAATCAGCAGTCTCCAACCTTTTTGGCATCAGGGACCAGTTTTGTGGAAGTTAATTTTTCCATGGCTGGTGGTGGCAGGGTGGTGGCAGATAGTATCAGGATGAAACTGTTCCACCTCTGATCATCAGTCATTGGATTCTCATAAGGAGCACACAATCTAGGTCCTTCACATGCTCAGTTCACAATAGGGTTTGCACTCCTATGGGAATCTAATGCTGCTGCTGATCCAACAGGAAGAAGAGCTCAGGTGGTAAGGCTCGCTTACCTACTGCTCACCTCCTACTGTGTGGTATGTGGTTCCTAACAGGCCTCGAACCAGCACTTGTTCATGGCCCGGGGGTTAGGGACCTCTGTCTTAAATGATTAAAGACATAAAAGAAGAAATCAGAAAAGTGTTTTACAAAAAAACAGGCTTGAAAAAAAAGCACATCCACTTCTAAAAAAAATGACAATTATAGTAGAAATTTAAAAATTGACAGCTTAAACACTTGATTAAATATATCTAAAGTGAGAACTAGTAAACTAGATGATAAATATGAAAAAGTTACCTTAGAATACAAAATTACAAGTTGAAGACATGGAAAATATGAATGAGAGGTTGAACAACATGGACGACAGGATGAGAAAGTCCAACAAACACTTCTAGGAGAGGCAAGAGAGACAATGAGAAAGAGGCAATATTCAAAGAGAACAATGGATTCGAATTATACAGAGTAGATCCAAAACAGAAATCTTTATATTAAAGAAGTAAAATATGCCATAGGGAGAACAAGTTAAGTGAAATCCATATCTAAACTCATCAAGGCAAAATTACTCTTAAAGGCAATCAGCAAGAAAAATACAGATGGGCTTCAAGGAATGACAAGACAGCAGCTGATCTCTTTCCACAACAATAGAGAAAACAATGGAATAATAGCCTCCAATAACTATCAACCTCGAATTTTTTTTATTCCTACTAAACTGTCATTTAAAACTCAGGGAACAATAAATATGCTCTCATTTAAAAGGACAGAATTACCAATAAGAGATTCTCACAGATATTTCTGAAGACATAATTCTGAAAGGAAATTCAACTGAAAATGGTTGAGATTCAGGATGCAACAGTGAACAAAGAAACTTGAAAACATGGTATAAGTCTAAAGAATTTATTGTTTAAAACAAAAATTATAACAACTAACAGGGAGTTTAGGACATCTAAATGTGCTAAATGAATAACGGTTCATTTTAGAACCATCTGAGCAAGATGGTTCTCAAATGCTGAACAGCAGTGACATGTGGAATGGAATGGCACTCTAAGCACTGTATTATTCAAGAGAAAGGTGGCAAACTCATAAATTTCAGACTTCTTAGGTACTTGTGTGAAAATTTTAAGGGTTATTATTAAAAGTAGAGAAATAGTATATAAAACTTCAAAATCAGAAGAGGGAAAAGATGAATTAAAATTTTATTGGCTGGGCACAGTGGCTCACGCCTGTAATCCCAACACTTTGGCAGGCTAAGGTAGGCAGATTGCTTGAGTCCATGAGTTTGAGACCAGCCTGGTATACATGGCAAAACCCTGTCTCTCTAAAAAAAACAAAAATGCAAAAATTATCTGGGCAAGAGGGCAGCACCTGTGGTCCCAGCTACTCAGGAGGCTGAGGTGGGAGGATCACATTGAGCCCAGGAGGTCAAGGCTGCAGTGAGCAATGGTCATGCCACTGCTCTTCAGCCTGGGCAACAGAGTGATACCCTGTCTCAAAGAAAAAAAAGATATTGGCCCTGTCTATATAGAAGGTAAAAATGGAGAAATAAAGATACAAACAGAAAGCAGGGTAAACAGAAAGCACTAATTAAGATAGTAGTAGTAAGCCTACACATATCAGAAAGCACAACAAATGCAAAGCAATAAACTCACCTTTTGAAAGATAGTGATTTCTATATTGGTTTTATATGCTGTTTACAAGAAACACATTTAAAACTAAAACCATATAAAGATTGAAAGTGAATAGATATTTAAATATATGCCAAGCAAAGGGAAGCCAAAATAAAACCATAAAAAAATCATTATTTGAGATAAAACAAACTACAACTACTAAAATGAATGAGTCCCCAGGATGTCACAATTTTATACTTGAATGTCCCTAATATGATAATCTTAACATGCATTCAGTCTACACACAAGAAAGCTGGTTTTAACCTAGCTTTCTCTGAAACTAGATAAATCAAACAACAAAACAGAAAAGCATTTAAAAACACTAATCACAAGCTTGATCCAATGGAAATGAAATATACATTATTGTCAAACATACATGGAATATTTATAAAAGCTGACTATATTATAATGTCACAAAGCAAATCTCAACAAATAAATATCAGAAAGTCTCTATCATGCAAATCATAATGCAAATAAATGAGAAATCAGTAACATAGATACCCTTCCCAAAAAACTTGCAATCCACTTCTAAGTAATTCTTGGATCAGTGAAAAAGTAATTGAAATTTTAAAATACTTTATACTGAACCATATCACAACTTTGTGGAATGTAGCCACAGTGAGAAATGCTTTGACTTAAACAATTTTGTAAATAAAGAATAATCTCTGAAAATCCATGAGCTTAAAATTCAACTTAATAATGTAGGAAAAGAAAAACAGACATTGTCACTCAAAAGCAAATGGAAGGAAGAACTAAAAGTTGAACTAAAGTTTGATGAGGGACTAGAGTTTTCTTCCTAATCCTGTCTAGAGGGAGAAACTATTCTTCTCCCTATGAAAAACCCTGTTTTTTGACTGAGATGGACCTGGATTTCTGACAATGTGTTTATTGGAAAACATCCCCCAGAAACAAAACCAATTTTCATTTCAACTTAGCAAACAATGGCAGCAAGGCCACCTGTGAGCTAGGTGCCAGGTCAGAACCACACTGTGCTCAAGGATTCGCAAGCTACCATACTTCTTGTTCTTTTCTCTTTAAAGCATTCTTGCTTCACTACCTTTGTGTGTTGCTCATTTCTGCCCAGAAGGTGTCAAAGAGCTGTTTAGATCAAGCCTGTCCAACCTGCGACTCAAGATGGCATTGAATTCAGCCCAAACAAATTTGTAAGTTTTCTTAAAACACTAAGTTTTTTTGTGATTTTTTTTTAAATTTAGCTCGTCGGCTATCATTAATGTTAGTGTATTTTATGTGTAGCCCAAGACAATTCTTCTAATGTGGCCCGGGGAAGCCAAATAATTGAACATCCCTGCTGTAGATAGCTTATAAGCCTTGTGTTCATAAGGTCTGTCTCATAGCTTATGGGCTGGCCTGTGTGCTGAAGCATACTGCTAGGGAATGGGAAAGTAGGAGAGAAAAATCACTCTGGACTATTTTCCCAAGATCCACATCAAGGGAAATTGTCCGATTTCTTTATAGAAGTAATCCAACACTAAGTACAAAGTATAAGGATCAAAGAAAACATGCAAAGGGAAATTCAAAATAGAAGAAACCACTAAAACGTGTGCTGACGTGTGCCTGTTAGCCAGTCTGCAAAGGAATTCATCACCCAAAGAAGACTAAAATGCCTTTAAAAATATAGTTGTGGGCGGAAAACCTGAAGT